CTCTCCGTACCTCCCCTCTCCCAACCCCGCCAATGCTACCCACACCCGAACCTGATCTCTGTGGCCGCGACTGCTTCGGGGACTGCTTTGGCACAAGACCTACCGTGCTACCAGCGGCGCCGCCGCTGCTACTGCCACTGACTGCTGCTGCTATGGGAGAGGAGGGGTAGAGGAGAGAGGACATGCCCACTAGCTGTGCCACGACTGCACATGCCATCACATAGGTCTTCCAGCCCTGCACGGTGATGGGATGTACAGATGATTAAGGAACAAGGATGTTCTGCCCTTTAGCTGAGATTGTGGGGAGAGATGTGTAATGAAGGATGACAATGGGTTGGGGTGTGCACATGAGAATTGGGGCGGTGGGATGATAAGGGGATGAGATGGCGGGAGTGTGGGATGGGATGGGAAAATGGAATGGATTGGGAGGTGGGATGGTGGGGAAACAAGGAGTTATGGCAGGATGGAGGCTTTCTCACCTTATTGCGAGGGTTTTGTGCATCGAAGATCTTGAGAGCGAGGATGATGGCGACGAATGCTTTGAGTCGACTCGAAACACACCCGGATACAACGCCACGTGTGGGTTGCCACTCACCTTATTGCGAGGGTTTTGTGCGTCAAAGATCTTGAGAGCGAGGATGATGGCGATGAATCCACAGATGATCACCAGCCGTCCCACCTGAAAAAGGAGGGAAAATGGGAGGGCAAGGCGGGAGAGGAGGGGGTGTATGAAGTGGAGGAGAGAGAGATCTTGAGTGACTGTTGCTTCGCAGCCTGTGTATCCACAGCCTCGATTGGGGCATCAATCTTGAGAGCGAGAATGATGGAGATGAATCCACGGATGATGACAAGCCGACCCACCTGGTGGGGTCAAACAGGGGAGGGGGGGAAGAAAGTGGGGGAGAAAGAGAACATCTGCGAATGTTGCTTAAAGAGAACCAATGCCACGCATGAAGCATCAACCTTAAGATCGGGAATGACTGATGATGACCAGTTGCCCTACCTGTGGGGTCGAACAGGGCAGGAAGGGAGGGAGCGCAGGTTTCCAATAACCACCCTGGAGTTGCGAAGAGTGTTGATGTACAACAGAACCCCAGCCATGCATGCGACATGCTCAACTGCGCCTGTATGTATAGCCACTCACACGCACCCAGTGACCACCACCCACCACTCCATGCGGTGCAGAAAGTGCAGACTCCCAATGAGCGCCCTTGAAATCCGCAGAATGTTGAAATACAGCAACACGCCCAGCAGCCCGCCCAACTCCGCCAGGATCACAGCCGACACACCCAGCACGCATGTGGCGTGCTGAAGTGCGCCCATACCATACCAGGCACCCAGACCTCACCCACCCACCCACCATGCGGTGCAGAAAGTGCAGCCTCCCAATGAGCGCCCTTGAGATGCGCAGAATGTTGAAATACAGCAACACGCCCAGCAGCCCGCCCAGCTCCGCCAGGATCACCGCCGACACGCCCAGCATGCATGCAGCGTGCTGAAGTGCGTCTGTACCGTACCAGGCACCCAGACCTCACCCACCCACTCACCATGCGGTGCAGGAAGTGCAGTCGCCCAATGAGCGCCCTTGAGATGCGCAGAGTGTTGAAATACAGCAGCACGCCCAGCAGCCCGCCCAACTCCACCAGGATGATTGACAGCTGACATGCACAGCCATGCATGTGGCGTGCTCAAGCGCGCCTGAGTACCCTTCAAACAAACCCACCACCCACTCACCATGCGGTGCAGGAAGTGCAGTCTCCCAATGAGCGCTCTGGAAACCCGCAGAGTGTTGAAATACAGCAGCACGCCCAGCAGCCCGCCCAGCTCCGCCAGGATCACAGCCGACACGCCCAGCCACGCGTGCGGCGTGCTGAAGTGCGCCTTGAGGCGCGCGTGGCGGTGGGTGAACATGGCGAGGGTTCCTGCTAGTGCTAGGACGAGGCCGGTGAGTTGCAAACCCAGGTGCAACCGCATGGCTTCCTTGCGCCGCTGGGGGGGGGAGGAGAGAGGGTAGGGAGGATGGGGAACGGGGAATGAGGGGTGTATATGGAGTCAGCTGAAATGCGCCTTGAGGCGTGCGTGGCGGTGGGTGAACATGGCGAGGGTGCCGGCTAGCGCCAACACGAGCCCCATGAGCTGCAGACCCAGGTGCAGCCGCATGGCCTCCTTGCGCCACTGGCGAGGCAGGTGAGGGGGGGGGGGGTGGGGGAAAGGTGGGGAACAAGAAACGAGGGATGCATATGAGAGGCGCGGGGCGGTGGGTGAAGACCCAAGTGCGGCCACATGGCCTCCTTGCGGCGCTTGGGGGGGCAGGGGAGAAGGGGACGCATATCCGTGAGCGTAAGGCGACGATATTGATATGTCTTCGGGATAACTACAAGGTGGAAAGCCGGGGGAGGGGGAGAGTGAGGGCAATGGCTGAAACACCTGAAAGAAAACCGCTATGAGGTAGACACGAGGCACCAGCCCGAGGAACACTTACCCGTGAGGCGACTGAAAATCTGTATCCAGGATGATTAACGCAAGGGAGTGATGCGCAACTGGAAGTGGAGCGTGAGCAGTTGAGACCGACCCGAAGCGGAGACCTAGAGGGATGATACATACCCGCGAGGGCCTGGCGACGATAAAGACGCCTTCAGGGATAACCAGTAGGAAGGCCAGGGTCATGAGTGCCACGTGAACGGCGAAGAGTGATTTCTCGTAGAATGTGACTGTAATGAAGATCGGCGAGAGCACCGCGAGGATGTGGAAGAGCCATGGCAGATCCCCTGCTGCCATTGGCCTGACTAAAAATAAGAATACGATTTATGATCTCTTTGATTTAGGGTATGATTTATAGCGACGCGAGTTTCAAACAGCTAGACGAAAGCCTGACTGAAGAAGGTTAGACGCGAGGACTAACGCGACGATCGAACGTGGTCAAAAAAACATTGCCAGAGTGAAATCAATCGTTCCTCTCACGACTGCGTCGACGGCCTGAACGCATCAAGGCTGCTGTGGGTGTGGTGTGGGTCCAGCAGCCCCGTGTGGTTGCGAAATTCCTCTCGCTAGTTGATCAGGCATGAGGTAGGAATGAACACGGGAGTCCTAACGTGCAGTCTAGACCTGGAGTAGCGTATGAGTGTCTGACCTCGATAAAATACTCGCAGCAGAACACAATAATGCAGGAGTTCCTAAGATGATACAGCAAAAATGAGTTTTGGCGCCTAACAAACAGTAACAAAGGTTGTGTAATTGATTTGTCAATACATACGTGGTTCAAGAAATTGTTTGATACACAATATAGGATCTCCGTCCTTGTAACGTGGATGATAACCATGTGACGCAATACCCTGACCTGACCCGCTGAATGGAGGAAAACTTTCCAGCGACTTCGACTGGCGAAGTTTCGTGCTGTGACGAATTTTCGTCGAGCTGTCTCGGAAATTCTGCCTTCCGCGTCGCTGGTGGCAGCGAAAAGTGCATCGCCGCCACGCCTGCGCAAATCACAGCCAGGGAGATCCGCCGCTGGGTTACCCAGCCACTCGCTCGCAACACGACTGCTGGCGTGTCAACAACGCTACAAAACCAGCTCCCGCCACACAATATCCCTCCAAAAGTTCGCACGGGCAGCCCCACAAAAACCGCAATGTTCTGGGACAAAGAACTTCCACAACCTCAACTTCGCATGGCCGTTTTCCTCATTGGCTTAGACTGCTGAAATTCCTCAAATTATGCACTCAATGTCAAACCTTTGAATCTGGCCCATCCTAGTCCAACGGTCAAAAGGCACACACGGTCAGACATCCCCGTTCCCAGAACGGAGGGATTGATTCACTGTACCCAGCCACCTGCCCGGCACCTGAGGTTTACGGCTTGCCTGCCCCACCGCGGATTTGATCTTCCCCGCGGGCAACACTGGGAGGACCATCGCGCTTCCGCGCGGAGCCCATCCCCCTTCTCACCCTAACTTCCGCCAATACAACTGCCACAGCTGCTTTGGTGTGGTTACTCCATGCTCCGCCATTCACATATATCAGAATCCAGCAATCCGCTATAGCTTCACCATTATCAGTTTTTCATTCCACTCCTCATTTCTCCGCCTTCGCTGGGATCAGTTACGGTCTCGAATAGTAGCGTGGTACCAGCTTTCCAACCTAGGTATCTGGGAGCATTTTCATTGTTGCGAACACATCCATTTGTCTACCTCGACCTATTTGTCAGCTTCCTCTGGCTGCACAACTCACTGCTTCAACCAAAAGCTTTACCATACAATCATATAGCCAGACTAAGACCAGGGCTCCTGTTAGGTTACCTTCTTCCCTTAACGGATCATGGCTGCCGTGAACACCCATTCAAGACGACACTCGTGGGGTCAACTTCAAACGACCAGCCTAACTGCTGACCATGAATTCGTTCATCCGCCTTATAGAGTTCCCCCAAAACCATCCACGCTATCTTCAGCTGTCTCCACACCATCACCAGCGATTTTTAGGAGCAGCCGGGGTTTCAAGCTCCCCCCATCGTCTGTTGTGGTCGATTCTAGGTCTCTGGCCTTTCATTCACCCGCGTCTCTCGCGGGAAGTTCGGTTGAGGATCGACTTCAGCGAAACCCTAACGAAGCCGCGCGACCTCTTGTTTCTCGCGCGCGAAACGCCTTTTCCGCGGACCTCCCGGTATTGTCCTTTTCGATAGAGGAACAAACCTCGTTCGGTGTACCTTCCGTCGCTTCAATAAACAGAGGCCTGAACAGCTCAACACGCTTGACCGACCCGCTACGGGGAAATCCATTTTCGTCGGCACTAGATAATCTCCGCTCGTCCGGTTTATCTCAGCTGATCGACCAAGCATCCGGCCGGTGGCGCAGCATCTCACATTCCGCCTTAGCTTCAGGAAAGGGATTCTCTACTGGTCTTCGGAAGGAGGGCTTAGCTGATCGAGGGCTGACCGTTGATGGAGAGGGTGGCGGGGGAAGCTTGCGCGGAGAGCGCGCGGAGAGCTGGCGCAGAGAGCGCGCGAGCATGCGCGCAGTGTTCGCCGCTCTGGACACCGACGGCGACGGGATGATATCCGCGGACGACCTCCGCGCGTACTCCGCGCAGCGCGGGCTTCCCGCGGGGTATGCGCTGGAGTTCGTGAGCCGCGCGCAGCATGGGCGGAGGGGTGCGGAGGAGCACTTATACGGGGAGCGGCGGACGGATCCGCAGGTTTTGCGCAACTCCCTGTTCGGTGGCGGATGGAACGGCGCGGGTTGCGCGGCGGGGGGGCTCCAGGCGGGCGGGGTTGCGGGAGTTGGCATCGGCGGAATGCGGATCCTGGGAAGCGGAGACGGAGTGGCGTCATGCGCACAGGAGGGGTCGGGCGGAACGAGCGGAGGCAATATGGCGCTGTGCCGCGCATCAGCGGGGTTTGCGGCGTCGTCCTCCCAGGTAGCTCTCACCTCCCAACGAGCTTCAGTGTCGATCTCTTTGGTTATACAGGGTGTTTCTGAGCATTTTCACAAACACCCTGCTCTTTTTTTACGCCCCATACCCGGACCAGTCGTCTCATACCTCCCCTTCCCGCCATCCCTCCCTCCCCCCAGGCGCTACCGCCCGTGGATCTCCCAGCACTGCTCTCCTCTGCCGCGCAGCAGCTTCACCGCGGGCTGGGCTCGGCGCGCTTGCACCTTAGCAGCTTCAGGGGCGGGGGAACCGGCGGAATAGGTGGCGGAAGCGGCGGAAGTGGCGGAACCGACGGCGGCGGCGGTGGCGGAGGGGGGTTTGGGGTGTCGTATGCGGCGTTTGAGGAGTTCGTGGATGCGAGGGACAGGGCTCTGTGGGACTCGTTTAGGTGCATGGACAGTAACGGGGATGGCCGCGTGTCGCAAGCAGACCTCGAACGCAGCATGAGGGTGCGTGTTACGTGGCACCTTCTCTTCTCCCCTGTGATTTTTTTTCTTTTCTCATCCGCAAGGGTGTGGGTGTTGGCTCCGAGCCCCCACTCCACCATTCCCGCTTGTGTTCTGCTCGTGTTTTTCCACGCCCACTGCCACGCTTCTAGTGCTGTCTGTTCAATCACCCTCCCCTGACGCACTAATTTCCTTTGCCCCTGCCCTTCCCTCTTCCAGATCCTCGCAACTCGCTGCAGTCACGCTGCTAGTGCCACCCCTGCAATGGGCATAACAGCATGCAACTCCCCCATGACCACTGGAGGCAACACCGCCACCTCTGCAGCCGTCACCACTCTCAGTGGCAGTACTCGAGCCAGCAGCACCAGCGGCAGCGGTAATGCCGAGGCAGCACGGCCTGCGGGGCTAGGTCAGCCGTGCTCGGTGGATTCCGTAGGGCGGGCTTGTAGCGGGAAGATGGTGAGAGCCGTGCAGCAGCAGCAGCAGCAGGTTTTGCAGCAACAGCAGCAGCAGCAGAATGGAGTTCTGCAGCGGATTAGGCTGCAGGCGTGCAGTGGCGTTGCTGCTGGGGATCCGTTGTCCCAGTCCGTATCATTCGAGGTATGTAGCCCACTTAGCCCACTGCTCATTTGATTGTAAGATTCCACGTCCATGTCTCTGCCCTGTAACCCTCTCCTCCCCACACCACCCCACACCACCCCATCCCACCCCTCCTTGCTACGCCATCCCCGCCTTCCGCTCCTCGTTCTCACGTCCCTCGGCTCTCTGTCGTTTCTTGCTCTTCCTCGGGCTCAGTCAACAGAGTTCGTGATTCCCCCCCTACCCCTCCTTGCAGGAGTTCCGGGACTACTTCACGCTACTCCCTACATCCGACCATCTCTTTGACTACTGGATCTCCGCCTCCTGCCCGCTCGCCTGCCACGCTTCTTCCGCGCCACGACCATTCAACGCGCGAGAAGCACTTGAGGGGGCTTCAGCAGTAGTAGGCACGGCTGCCACAGCTGCCGCTGCGGGAAATGCGTTGAAAAGGAAGGTTCCACGAAGAGGGTCTCTGAGGGGAACCAGCAGCAGCAGCAGCAAGGGTGCTGGCACAGGTGGCGGCAGCAGCGGCAGCGGCTCCAGCAGGAGAAGTAAAGGGGCGGGTGGCGTATGGCGGCATCTAGTGGCGGGCGGCATGGCAGGGGCGACATCCCGCACAGTGACTGCCCCTTTGGAGACCCTCCGCCTGCGCATGATGGTCTCGTCCGAACATGGCCTCCTGCAAACATGCTCTGTAAGTGCAAACATCCGAGCTCCACTGCTGCAACAGTGCCATGTGACTCTTAGATACACTCCACCAGTTACAGTCACAGCCCCTCTGGAGAGCCCTCCGCCTGCGTATGATGCTCTCGTCTGAGCATGGGCTGCTACAAACGTGCTCTGTGAGTGTGCTTAGTTGATGCACCATGGTCTAGACTATACTCTGCCCCTTTCCGTGTCTCATCCCTACCCTCCTCGCAATCTCTCCTCTTCCCATCGCAGCAAGTGTGGAGTGAAGCGGGCTGGAGGGCATTCTTCCGCGGCAACATGGTGAACGTGGTGCGCTCGGCCCCTCAGAAAGCAATCGACTTCTTTGCTTTTGAGGCATTCAAACAAGCCATCGCCACTGTCTTCCCCACGGTAAGTTCGTGGTTCACCCTACCCTTATGTTACAGGCACGGGTCGTATCTGGGATCCAGTGGCAATATGGTGAACGTGGTACGCTCGGCCCCTCAGAACAAGGCAATTGACTTCTTTGCTTTCAAGGCCTCCATTGCCACAGTGTTTCCCACGGTGCCATTGCCACAGTGTGTCCCATGGTGACTCTTTGTATGCTCCCTTCCACATCACTGCTCCTCGCCATGTGCTCGGCTTGACTTGCTGTGCCACACCACATCGTAGCCCTCGCAAGGCCATCCACTTGCCTTGGCTTGGAGGCTTTCTGGCAGGCCTTTACCACCGTCTTCCGCACCGTCTTGACTTTTGATTCGACTCAAAAGTCAGGCCTTTACGACCATCCTCCGCACCGTGCGTGCTCACACCGATGCTGAATCCCTCCTCTAATCTCATCTCTCCTCCCTCTCCCGGCCTCCACTTTGCCAGGGCCCTGCGGGACTTCAGGTGGTGACAGCAGGTGCTTTAGCAGGTGCCACGTCCACTCTGGCACTCTATCCTCTCGATGTCGTCAGAAGCCGCCTCACTGTTGCCGCCCGCTCCCAGGTGGGTTGTCTCACTGTTGCCGCCCGCTCCCAGGTGGTTGTCTCATTGTTGCCACCCGCTCCCAGGTGGGTGGATTTGTTGTTGCCGCCCACCCTCAGTCATGTTGACACACTGTTGCGGGCCGCACTTAGGCTGTTCACAACCATTGCCACCAGTGGGCCGCACTCAGGCTGTTCACAACCATTGCCACCAGTGGGCCGCACTCAGGCTGTTCACAACCATTGCTAGGCGTCTCTCTCCTTTCAACCACAGCTGCGTCACGCCATCTCAACAATGTTATCCATCCTCCCGTTCCTCCTCTCCCCACGTCCCCTTCCACAGTGCACAGGCATCGCCCATGCCCTCACCACAATAGCAAAGACAGAGGGAGTCCCAGCACTCTACCGCGGCCTGGGCGCGTCTCTCCTCTCCATCCTACCAGAGGACGCCATCACATACGGCTGCTTCGATCTGCTCAAGACCGCCCTGCAGCACTCCACCGGCCGCACCGTGGGAGCGCTGCCCGCCCTGGCCTGTGGCGTCGCCATCACATCCACTCACTTTCTTTCCTTCCTCCTCTGTTTCATCCCTCACCTTCAGCCCTGTACCGCGGGCTAGGAGCGTCCCTCCTCTCCATCCTACCAGAGGCAGCCATCAAATACAGCTGCTTTGACCTGCAGCACTCCACTGGCCACACCGTGGGAGTGCTGCCCGCCCTGGCCTGCGGTGTCGATGTTTCTCACACACACTCACTCCCTCTGTCCAACTTCCTTTTCGCCTTCCACCCTCCCCAAACCACAGTACACAGGCATCGCCCATGCTCCGACCACGACAGGAAAACCAGAAGGCATGCCGGCACTCTGTAGAGGCCTCGGTGCTTCTCTCCTCTCCATTCTACCGGAAGCCGCCATCACATGCGGCTGCTTCGACCTGCTCAAGTCTGCTCTGCACCGCTCTACTGGTCGCACCGTGGGAGTGCTGCCCGCCCTGGCCTGCGGCATTGCTGTACCCGTCACACCCACTCACTCACTCTCTCCATCCTCCCATCTACCCCCCGCCCTTCCCCTTCCAACCCCCCAGTGCACAGGCATTGCCCATGCCCTCGCAACTATAGCCAAAACCGAAGGTGTCCCAGCCCTATATAGGGGTCTCGGTGCGTCTCTCCTCTCCATCCTACCGGAAGCCGCCATCACGTACGGCTGCTTTGACCTCCTCAAGTCCGCCCTGCAGCACTCTACTGGTCGCACCGTGGGAGTGCTACCCGCCTTGGCCTGCGGTGTCGCCTCTGCATTCACGGGCCAGCTTGTCGCATACCCTCTCGAGCTCGTTGCGAGGCGCCTGCAGGTCTCTGCTGTTGCTGCTGGTGCTGCTGGTGCTGGTGCAGTTGCAGCAGGGGCGGCGAAGCATAATCTGGTTACCGTTACCAAGGCGATACTGGCGGAACGGGGAGTGGCAGGGCTGTATCAGGGTATCGTGCCGGCCTCCCTGAAGGTCATTCCCATGGCGATTGTGAGCTTTGGAGTGTATGAGTCGGTTAAGTTTGCTCTGGTGCAGCTGGCTGAAAGGGAGGAGGGGTGGCGGGAGGAGAGGGAGAGGAGGCGTGAGGAGGAGGGGAGGAGGAGGTGGGCGGAGGAGGAGAGGAGGTTGGTGGAGGAGGAGAGGAGGGGGAGGAGGGTGTGTTTGCCGGTGTGTAAGGCATGCTGTCGGGAGGGAGGGTTGTGTGGGAGGCAGAGGGGGAGCGCACTGCTGGTGGTGTGACGGCGGTGTGACGGCGGTGTGGATGCTCCGATGGTGTATCTCACGCCAGTAGGGTTGGATATCATGGGAGTGGGGCTGGGTGTCAGGTGCGCCATTGTGGCTGATTGGAGGTGCCAACAAGACATGCAGTGAGACTACAGTCGCTGCACAGCATCTGGTGTATGGTGTAGTGCACCTTATGAATCTCCCACAGCAAAAGCTGCTCCAAGTGTACATACGAAGGCTTTTCGCAGGCACATTGAAGTATGCTTTGGTGCAAGCATAATATGTGTGTGCTGCAGTCTTAGCTTGCTGCATTGGCAAGCTGATATGAAGCATTGAACGTTGCCTGGAGAAATGCTATTTTCCATTATAATTTTGTTCTTTGGGTTGGTACTGTCATGTGTATTGCTATTCTTATGTCTACTATACAATTATAACGGTTTTCGAGCTTTCACCGTTTTTACTGATTTCAAGATTTGGGAGGTTGCCAAGCTTGGGGTGTAAGAAATTTGCCAATTCCTTACTGTAGCCTTTCCTTAACGGGTACAGCCCGAGCACTTCGCGTCAGGTGGCTCGGCCTACATTTCCGCACCGAACCAATGCCGAGTCGCCCTGCACCAATCGCGACACATCCAAACCATCCACGCTCCGAGGTCCTCGCCTAGCACGGTTTCGATCCTATAAATGCGTGCTCCTTAATCATTCTTGATCATTCAGTAATTCTGTAATTCTCATTCTCGTTATTCGATATTCTGCGCACTCTGCAAGTTCATTCATAACATGGGGCTTGCCGAACAGCGCCGAAAAAATTGATGGACAGCCAAGCAAAGAATGCCTTCCCTTGCAAGGCTGGAACCTGCCGCAGCCCCTGTTCAAGAGATTAGGTACTTGTTCCTAAAAGAAAGGAGAGTGCCTCGTTCTTGCGTTGCAATCTGCGCCAAGGCCACGAGGGTACTTAGGGTCGGAGGAGTCCTCGTTGCTTAAGACTATGGCATTCTAGATTTTGTCGGACGTGACGCACGATACTTTCTAGGGTAAAGTTGCATCTGGCGGGATTAGCACTGACTTAGCTGGTGGGAGATATTTATTAGGTGGTATTTCCGTGAACATAGTGCTAAGAAGGATCTTTGAAGTATCATCCCACCTCTTCGGATTCTTCGAGGAATTGGTCATGGCGACAACTAGGAAAACGGTCTCTCGTGACCGGCATCGGTTATCCTCGTTATTGCTTATGCTGCACGTGCTGGCGACGAGTTTGGTTTTGGCGAGCGTCGCGAGGCTCGCGAAAGCGAGTAACTTGGGCTCCGGCGAAGTTCGCCGACCCGAGGAAGTCACTCAGGGCTTCGAGACCATCTCAACGGACATGCAACGCGTCGTCGAAATGCCGGAAGTTTCGCAGAAGGTTCTCCTGGACGGCATGGGTCAGGCGCTCGTGTCGTCCGGCATGTGGCCGTGTAACATCTTCGGCGGCGTTAAAGCGTGTGTCGCGGTGCCTTCTAACGGAGCGTTCATGCAGCAGTGCGCGAACGTCGCCAAGTCGGAGGTGGACTGCGCTTATAACCGCGAGACGCTGAGTGACATTAACGAGGATCCGAATGTGATTATGAAGGAGAAGCTCGAAGAAGCAGGTGTGTACAACTGAAGAATATTGAGACGTCTCAAAGAGACGCTGAGTGACATTAACGAGGATTCGAATGATTATGAAGGAGAAACTTGAAGAAGCAGGTGTGTACAACTGAAGAATTTGGAGACGTCTCAAAGAGACGCTGAGTGACATTCACGAGGATCCGAATGTGGTTATGAAGGAGAAGCTCGAAGAAGCAGGTGCGTGTAACGAGCGAGGGAAAAGCAAAAACAATCGAGAATTCTTTTGAATCGTCTCAAGAGACACTGAGTGACATTAACGAGGGTCCGAACGTGGTTATGAAAAAGACTCTTGAAGAAGCAGGTGAGTGTAACGAACGAGGGGGGAGCTGAGAGGAGAGGGGTATGTGGTTGCGGGATGAATTCCTACTCGCGTTCAGGCTTCAAGGCGTGTCCCGCTGCATCGCTTTCAGTGCAGGCAGACCTCATTCCTCGGTCATAGCGTCTCTTCCTCTCACCACCCTTCCCCTCTCCCATCTCTCTCCCGCCTCTCCCCCGCTCCCCGCGCCCCTGCGCCCCTGCGCCCCGCTCTCCCCCCTCGGGCCTCGAGGCATATCCCGCATACCCCTCATTCCTCGGCAATGCATCTCTGCCACTCCACTCCCCGCCCTTGCCCCTGTTCCCACCCCCCTCCCTCCCTCCCAGGCTTTGAGCCGTATCCCGCGTGCCTGGATGCGCTCCATCACTTCTGGTGCGTGCAAGATCTCATTCTTCGGTTATTCCATCTCCTCCTCTCTCCCTCCCGCGGCTTCCCCTCTCCTCCCCCACCAACCAGGCTTCGAGCCATGTCCCGCGTGTTTGGATGCGCTGCACCGCTTCTGGTGCGGCCAGACCACCCCCACGTGTGGCACCTTCGCTAAAGTGGTTGACGAAATCTTGGTGAGGAGGGAAGAGGGATGAGCAGGGGAAGTGGGTGCGTAGGGAAGAGGGAAGTGGGTTAGGAAAGGAGAGGGGTGAGAGATAGAGTTGTTTGAGAAAGGGAGGGGGAAGAGGGATGGAAGGGATTTATGAGTGCGTGGAAGGTGGCGGTTGAACCGCTTATGACCCCCCCGTCAGATGGAGAGGGTGGTTTGAGGGGGATGAGGGGATGAGGAAGGGAGGGAAGGTGGTGGATAAGGAGGGGAGGGGGTTGAGGAAGAGGGGTTGGAGCGGGTAAGATGGAGGGACGATGAGGGTGGGCGTGGGAGTTGCAAAGGCATCAATAAGGGGCTGTCAGCCTGAGATCCAAAAGGCCAGTGCAGGCAAGGTTAACCCCAACCCATCGTTCAATCAAACATCCCTGTCCGCAAGCTCTTCTTTCTCTGGGGCTTTGAGGTTCCACTCTTTAAACCTGCGCTCCCTTCTTTGCCCATCTTCGCCCTTCTCTCCCTTCTGCTCCCTCCGTTTCCCCGCACCCCTCCCCACCCCTCCAGCCTGAAATGAGGCAAGTCAGTGCTGGCAAGTTGAAGCCAGACGAGCTCGTTCAGTCAGCCCTGCCCCGCATGCTCCAAGCCTTTTCTCTCGGGCTGCCCTGCCGCAAAATGTGCGAGGCGGTTACCGCCACCTGCAGCTGCGGCCGACCGGCCACGTTCGGGCAGATGATGAAAGTTTTGGAGCTGAAGCGCACGCAGCAGCAGGCAGAAGGGGAGGGCGCGGCGGGCAGGCCCCTGGCGGAGAACAAAGATTTGATTCCGTTTGGGTTCAGTACGAACATGTCTCTGGCTACTGCTGTGAAGATCTTCAAAGGGGTGTGGGACCGACCCGTCTGCGACTTGTTTGCCCCGCATGTAAGAAAGAGGATACTATAAGGGGTTTGGGAGGAGGGGTTGAGATGGGGAGGGGTCTGAGACATAACTAAGAGTGGGGTCAGCACGAGCATGTCTCTGGCTACTGCTGTGAATACCGTCAAAGTCATGTGGGACCGGCCCGTCTGCAAAGTCTTCGCTCCTCGTGTAAGGAAGACCGGGGGGAAGAGGAAGGGTGTGGGAGAGGGAGGGGGGGGGGGTTAGGTGGGGGACGGTCTAAGAGGGGCGAGGGGTTTGAAACATCACAAACAATGGGTCTGCAATAACACGTCTCTGGCTACTGCTGTGAGGATTAATCAATCCCACATCTCCCCTCCCCTCCCCCTATTTCTCCCCTCCCCACGGACAGGACGCGCCTGGCTTCCAGGGCGTGTGTGAGACGTGGTGGGCGGGGGCGGACAAGAACCAGACGACATGTCGCTGGTGCGAGTCAAAGCAGCGGCCAGAGGACATGGACGAACAGATAGTGGCTCAGATCGCGCAGTCCGTGTCCAGCATGATGCAGGTGGGGTGTAATGGTTGCTGAGTCTTTGAGCAGAGGAGGATTGAACCTGCTGGTACGGTAGTGTTCTTAGGTGCTGGTGTGAGCAACGGAGGGGTAATCTCACGTCGCTGGTGCAAGCCAAACCAGCGGGCAGAGGACATGGACTAGCAGATTGTGCCATATCCATGCATGTAAAGTTCTGGGTATGCATGATCCTGTAAGTTCTGGTGTGCCGCTGGTGCGAGCAAGTACAAGGATGGGCGGATATGCAATCGGTGCTGTCGGTACTTAGTCGACTCGAAGCTCAAGTGTGTCCTTGCACACGTCTCTGCTTTCCATGTTGTTTCCATATTGCAAACCTCTTTCCCTTATCATGTTGCTAAGGCCTTTCTCCCTTTCATCTTGCAATTCCTGTTCCTTTCCTTGCACACGGCCCCCCGCAGGCTGGTCTCGAACATGTTCTTTTTGCTGCCGCCTTCCCGGTTCCCACCCTAAACGCTGCCCGCACCACCACCACCACCACCCCCTCCTCGTCCTCCTCCTCCTCCTCCTCCTCCACTTCCTCTGCTGCCTCTGCTTCTGTCTCTGTTTCCAATGCCAGCCCTGCAACTGCAACAGCTTCTGCTGGTGCTGCTAATGCTGGTGTTGCTGTCGCTGTCTCTCCTGCTGTTGCCCCTGTAGCTGACACGGCTGACGCAGCAGCAGTGGAGCAGGCAGAGGAGGAGGTGGAGCAGGAGGAGCAGAAAAGCTTCGACTGGCAGGACGACCAAACCGGGCTACCCAATCCCGAGCCTGTTCAACTACCCCCTGACACTGTTCCTCCCAAGCTTATCGACCCTACCGCCGAACCTGGTGCCAAGCCTGCCGCTGAACCGGGTGGGAAGGCTGCAGCCGAGCCTGGTTCGGATGGGCCGGGGTATTTTAGAGAAGCAGCGCCGGGGGATTGGGGGTATAAAGAGTCAGACGAGGAGAAAATGGCAAAGATGATGCGAGGGGAGGGGATGGGAGAGGAAGAGGGGGAGGTTCCATCTGGGAAAGGTGGTACCGCGGGTGGAAGGTGGGAAGAGGTGATGAATGGGATGATGGGGGGGAGGGGAGGGCGAGGAGGTGAGGGGGGGCGAGGGGAGAGGGAGAGGGGAGAAAGGGGAGGGGCAGAGGGCAGAGGTGGTGCATGGGAGGGGGGTTCCGCTAGAGGGGGTACGATGATGCGAGGGGGGCCGGGAGAAGTTGAGGGTGGTGAGAAGGAAGGAGAGAAGGAAGGAGAGGAGGAGGGAGCGGTGGAGCCAGGAGATTCCAGGGGTTCTGCTGTTGCAAGCGCAGGCACGACTTCTCCCAGTGCTTCGCGAACCGAACCTTCCACCGAGCCTGGAGAACCGGAGCGGCCACCGGTTTGGGAGAAGAAGGAATGGCAGGAGAAGGGAGGGGAGCCGAGCTCCGAGTGGCGGTCGGAAAAGCCGGAGGAGCCGGTGGAAGAGGGTGGGGGGAATGTGTGGTATCGAGGGCATGGGGATGATTTGCCCATTCCGCCAAGAGAGGAAAAACGCGGGTCGCCTTTGGTGGCGACGATTTTTATTTTCTTTGCGGCTGTGGGAGTGGTGGCAGGGTTGGCGTTTTGGAAGATGAGGAGGGAGCGGAGGGCGAGGGATGGTGGGTTGCAGTATATTGATTTGCAAGAGATGAGCTATCGGCCGCCGGAGTTTTAGAGATTGGTGTGGGTTTGAGGATGAGGCACGCTAAACACATCATCAAACATGTTCGCCTTTGAGGCGAGTGTTCCTCACCTTTGACCATTTTTGTAGTTCGCTTTCTTCTCTTGCCTTATTGCAGTTCACCAGGAGATCTAAAGATATTTCTTTCACTGGAGTATCCTCTCGTCTTCGTTATAAGTTCAGTGAAACATATCACCTGTCGCTGTCTGTCAGCTGTCTGTTCCAATGGTGGTCCTGTCCTGACGGCTGACAGGCGGAATTGGCGAGATGCTTGTCACTTTCACCCGTCCGATGTTGACTCAAACGCCCAATTTCGGGAAAACGACCCTTCGCGAACACACGTGCCAACAGTCCAATGGCTCGCGAGCGACTCCGCGAGCCCACATCTTTCCGCTCCCTATCTTGCGCGATTCGTCTTCTCAATGTTTTCCCGACATCGCGACTCGTGTTCCCCTCCCCTCGCAAACGCAATCTGCTCGAATTTCTCCCACCATAAAATTCCGCACCTTGATGCTTTTCTCGTCACATCCACCCCCAACGCACTACCAGCTCACCATCCTTCCCGCGTCTCTCCCGCAAACCACATATCAGCAGTGATTCCCAGGCTCAAAACCACAGCTCAATAAGTGTTTAGTGTTCGATTTCGAATTCTATTCCTAGATTACATAGGCTCGGGAAACATCTCGTTTCCCGCCATTTTGGTGCTAAGTGAGAAGCTGACGACGTGGAGCCAAGAGTAGCCATGGCTGTCAGCATGGGAGCGCGCGTGCTATCGCTGGTTATGCTAATCCACATGACCATATCTTCAACGGGTAAGCTCCTGCACGCCCTTCATTCGTTCTCATGTACGGAAATCTCAAGTGTCTTTTCCCAGGTTTTAGGCGCTAATTTTATATTCAATTTTGAGTCTTACCATTCTGATGTATCCGACTCTCTCTTTCCTGTTTTCCTGCCCTCCTTTCGCCCCAATTCCTTCTCATTGACCAAATCCGCAACAGCTCAACCCATCCCCGTGCCACGAGTCGCTGACGGCCCGGCAGCACTGGTGGGAGGCGCCGCCAGCTCAGCACAGTCCGCGATTGGTGGCGCTGCGATCCCGGTCCAGAATCTGATTGGGGGCGCCGCGAGCGCGGCTCAAAACGCAATTGGCGGCGTCACTGGTGCGGCTCAGGGCGTGATTGGCTCTGCAACCACCGCCGCCCAGACCACGGCCGGCAATCTTGTGAGGACCGTTGGTGGCGCTCTTAACGGAGTTCAAACCACCGCTGGTGGCGCCGTCAACACACTTCAGGGCATCGCTGGTGGCGCCTTGAACGGGGTTCAGACCACTGCTAGCAGCGCGCTCAACGCTGTTCAGAGCACTGCTGGGGCCGCGCTGAACGGAGTGCAGACAGCAGCTGCGGGAGCAGCGGGCGCGGCTCAGCGCACCCTCGGATCTGCCCTCAACACGGTTCAAACCATCGCCCAAGACCCGCTTGGAGTAGTGCAGAGCACGGCTGGGGGAGCACTTAACGCAGTCCAGACCGCTGCCCGAGACCCACTTCGTACAATCCAGAGCACTGCTGGTGGCGCACTCAATGCAGTTCAGACCACGGCTGGGAGCGCCTTGAATGCCATCCAGAGCACAGCTGGTGGAGCTGTTGGTGTGTTGCAGACTGCTGCTGGTGGCGCTCTAGGGGCGGTGCAGGGAACAGTTACCAGCCTGGGAAACGCTCTGACTGGCACTGCTCAGCAGCTCGCTACTACTGGTCCCGTTAACACTATAAGAAACGCTGCTGGCACAGCTGCGAGCAACGTGGGCAGCACTCTGAGCGGGCCTGCTGGGGCGATTCAGGGAGTGGCTGGCGCTGCTGTGGGCAATGTTGCGAGTGCGTTGCGCGGGCCTGCTACTGCTGCTGTGAGTGCTCTGAGCGGACCTGCTGGGGCGCTGCAGGCGGTGATGATGCGTCAGGGAGGTGTGTTGAGCCGCCCGCTTGAAAGCGTTCAGGGGGCTGTCGCTGGTGCTGCTGGTGCAGTGCAGAACGCCGCTGGGGGAGTGCAGCAAACGCTGAGCCGGCCGGTTGAGAGCATTCAGGGCGCTGTTTCAGGTATTGCTGGGGGCGTGCAGAGTGCGGTTGGGGGAGTGCAAAGCACACTCGGCAATGTGGGATCCGGTGTGCAGAGCACCCTTGGGAATGTCGCTGGGGGCGTGCAGAGCACCCTGGGGAATGCTGCTGCTGGTGTGCAGAGCACAGTGGGCAATGTGGCTGGCGGTGTGGAGCAAACTCTGGGGAGCGCCGCTGCTGGTGTGCAGGGCACTCTAGGTAACGCCGCTGGCACTGCTGCTACTACTGCGGGTGCAGGTGCTGGTCCTGGCGTCGTTACTACTGTCCCCGTGGCAGCACGCTCATCAGCAGAGAGTGAGCCGAGAGAGCCAGGAAGGAGGCTGCAGGGCAGCCCGGCAGGTACAGGCAGCGCCGGCTCTGCCGCTATTCCCACTCCCCTCCCCACCGCCCCCATTCCCACCATCCCCACTCCCACCACTCCCGCCACCACCCCTGCTGCGAGCACCAGCGCTGGTCCACTGGGTGCAGTGCAGCAAGCACTCTCTGGCGCCGCCTCCACCCTTCAGGGCGTTGCCTCTGGCGCCGCCTCTACTCTTCAGGGCATCACTGGGTCTGCCGCCCAGCAGATCACGTCTGCTGCGGGCGGCGTGCAGAGCACTCTCGGGAACGTCGCTAACGTTGCGCAGCAAACTCTGGGCAGTGCTGCCGGTGCTGTGCAGGGCACGCTTGGGAATGTGGTTGGGGGAGTGCAGCAGACGCTGAGCAATCCGGTGGGATCCATCCAGGGCGCAGCTGCTGGTGCTGCTCGCGGGGTGCAAAACGCCGCTGCAAACGTGCAGAGCACTCTCGGCAACGTTGCTGGGGGAGTGCAGCAGACTCTGGGTAATGCCACTGGGGGCGTGGCTAATGTGGCGCGTGCGGCAGGAGGGACTGTCTCTGGAGCTGCTACCAGTGCACAAGCAGCACTCTCCGGACAGCTCTCTGCTGCCCGGAACGCCCTGTCTGGCCCGGTTTCCGCAGTGCAGGGAGCGCTGTCAGTCCCGGCTGGTGCCATCCAAAGCGCTGCCACCGGCGCGCAGGCAGCAGTTTCCGGTCAGCTCTCTTCAGCCCAGAACGCCCTGTTTGGCCCGGTTTCGACTGTTCAAAACGCACTGTCAGGGCCTCTTTCCACGGTGCAGGGGGCAGCAGCAGGGGCAGTGAGGGGCGTGCAGGGAGCGGTGTCAGTCCCTGCAGGCGCCATCCAAAGCGCTGCCAGTGGCATGCAGGGTGCAGTGCAGGGAACAGTCCAGGGGGTTCAGGCCGTTGTGCAGGGAGCCGTGCAAGGGGCGCAGGGCGCCGTGCAAGGGGCGCAGGGCGCCGTGCAAGGGGCGCAGGGCACAGTGCAAGGGGCGCAGGGCACCGTGCAAGGGGCGCAGGGCACAGTGCAAGGGGCGCAGGGCGCCGTGCAAGGGGCTCAGGGCACAGTGCAAGGGGCTCAGGGCGCCGTGCAAGGGGCTCAGGGCGCCGTGCAAGGGGCTCAGGGCGCCGTGCAAGGGGCGCAGGGCGCCGTGCAAGGGGCTCAGGGCACAGTGCAAGGGGCGCAGGGCGCCGTGCAAGGGGCGCAGGGCACAGTGCAAGGGGCGCAGGGCACCGTGCCAAGCGCTGCCTCTCTGCCCACAGCTGCCTCTCAGCTTCCTGCCGCTGCCGGCACTGCTGCTGCGGGTGCGAGTGCTGCTGCTGGTAATGCTGCTGGTGCTGGTGCTGCTACTACAGTCCCTGTGGCAGCACGTGCATCAGCAGAGAGTGAGCCTAGTCAGCCTGGAAGGAGGCTGCAGGGCAGCCCGGCAGCAGCTGGTAGTGCTGGCCTGACTGCTGCAACTCCCAATGGTCCTACTTCCACCGTTACCCCCACTCCCCTCCCCATCCCCACCACCACTACCCCAGCTCCCACCACCCCCATCCCCACCCCCACAACTCCTACCACCCCCACACCCACCACGCCCGCCACCACCGCTGCAGCTGCCACCGGTCCACTGGGTGCTGTGCAGCAGGCGCTCTCTGGTGCAGCCTCCACCCTTCAGGGCGTTTCCGGGTCTGCCGCCCAGCAGATCACGTCTGCCGCCCAGCAGATCACGTCTGCCGCCCAGTCGCTCACAGGCACCGTCCAGGGCGCAGCTGCTGGCGCTGCTGGCGGGTTGCAGAATGCCGCTCGCACTGTGCAGAGCACTCTGGGCAGTGCGGCTGGGGGTATGCAGCAGACTTTGGGCAGTATCGCCGGGGGGGTGCAGCAAACTCTGGGTAATGTCGCCACCGGCGCACAAGCAGCACTTTCCGGACAGCTCTCCGCAGCCCAGACCGCCCTGTCAGGCCCGGTTTCCACGGTCCAAACCGCACTCTCCGGACCTCTTTCCACGGTGCAGGGCGCAGCAGCAAGTGCTTTGAGGGGTGTGCAGGGTGCGCTGTCAGTGCCTGCTGGGGCGATTCAAAGCGCTGCTACCGGTGCACAAGCAGCACTCTCCGGCCCGCTGTCTGCAGTGCAAAGCACTCTGTCAGGGCCACTTTCCACGGTTCAGAATGCAGCAGCAGGGGCAGTGAGGGGCGTGCAAGGAGCGGTGTCAGTCCCTGCTGGCGCGATCCAAGGGGCGGTTAGTGGCGTGCAGAGCACCCTGCAGGGATCCATGCAAGGCGCACAGGGCGCGGTGCAAAACGCTGCCCCACTGCCCACAGCTGCCACTCAGCTTCCTGCTGCTGCCGGCACTGCTGGCAATGCTGCTGCTGCTGCTGCTGGTGCTGCTGATACAGTCCCTGTGGCAGCACGCTCGTCAGCAGAGAGTGAGCCTAGTCAGCCGGGAAGGAGGCTGCAGGACAGCCCGGCAGGTACAGGCAGCAGCACTGGCTCTACCGCAACAACCCACAGCAGCCCCACTTCAACCACCCCCACCACCCCCACCGGTCCACTGGGGGGCGTGCAGCAGGCGCTCTCTGGCGCTGCTTCCACCCTTCAAGGCGTTGCCTCTGGTGCTGCCACCACCCTGCAAGGCGTTGCCTCTGGTGCTGCCACCACCCTGCAAGGCGTTGCCTCTGGTGCTGCCACCACCCTGCAAGGCGTTGCCTCTGGTGCCACCACCACTCTCTCTCGAACCACCACTGGCGCTCAGTCCCTCGCTGCCTCTGCCGCCCAGTCCCTCCCCGGCACAATCCAGTCCGCAGCAGGGTCGGTGCAGGCAGCAGCGGGGGCGGCAGTAGGAGCAGCAACAGGGACTCTGAACCGGGTAGGGGATGCACTCACACTCCCCCTGCGCCAGGCTGTAACGGCTGTAGCACAGCCTCTTGTAGGGGCAGCCCAGGTTTTAGCGCAGCCCTTGGGAGCGGCTGTAGCGAGCGCTGTGCAGCCGGCTGTAGCAGCTCTGCAGGCGGGGGTTCAGGGGGTTGGGGCAGGCGTTTCAGGGGTTGCTGGAGGGGTTGGGAGTGTAATGCAGGCAGCAGGGGCAGGCGTGCAGAACGTAGGGAGAGGGGTGGTGGTAGGAGTGCAGAGCGCAGGGGCAGCAGTGGGGGAGAGGGTGCAGAGCCTTGGAGCGGCAGCAGCAGGGGGGGTGCAGAGCCTAGGAGGGAATATGACTGGGGCGGCAGCAGGGGCGGCAGAGGCGCTAGGCAGGACTGCTAGTGGTCTGGGCGCCGGGCTAGGGAACACCGCAGCTGGAGTTCAAGGGAGTATTGGCCAGGCGCTCGGGGGAATTACCCGGGCGGTTCAGGGCGGGCCCGGGAATCTCGGGCAGGCGGTGGGGCAACTTACCCAGGGAATTCAGGGCGGACCGGCAGTGCTAGGGGGTGTGCTGACCCGGGCGGCAGACGCGGTTACTGCAGCAGTGGGAGGGGCGGCAGGGGCGGCGGGGAATGCTGTGACTGTAGCGGTGGATGCTGCTAGTGGCACGATTCGATACAGCATTGAGGGGATTGGGAATGCGTCAGAGCTGGTCTCTGCTGGGATCTACCAGGCTGCTGGGACGGCAGGAGGTGAGTCGATGAGTTGTTTCAGCTGCTAGGGTGTGTCACACCCGCTCACACACACTGAGAATGCTCTATGTGAGACAGCAGGGCACACACCTACCCTTTCTCAATCCTTCTGTCTCTACCCTCATACCCCTTTCCACATCACCCAACATACATACTCCCTGTCTCTTTGCTTTACTCCCTCCTCTCTTCACGAACCCAATTTCGTCTTCCACAAATCAGGAGCTGCCAGGTCAGCAGGAACCCAGGTGGTGAGCCTGTTCAACCAGGTCAACCCAGTCAACGCCCTGTCAGCAGCGGGCGGCGCACTCACAGGCACAGTAGCCGCCACGCCCAGCGCCATCGCCAGCCTGCTGCAGAACCCAGCAGGCTTTGTCCTGCAGGCCACAACCAGGGGAGGTGCATCTGCTGCTGCTGGCACCAACAGTTCTGCTTCTGGGGCCACCGAGACCCGTGTGGCGCCACTGAGTGTAAGGATGACTTCCCCTTAATCAACCGGCAGAGTGATCCTTCACCCTCAGCACTAGACTGACCCTTCAGGCTGACCAAGATCCGTGGTTCAGCCCTGGCTGATTCAACAGTGGTGTGTCGCGCGGCACTAGCAATGTCGGAGAAGTGACAGGAGCACAGTGTGTAGCATGAGACGTGCGATTGTAGTAATCAGTGTGTGATGCAATGAAGCTAATGGAAATCGTTTCAGTGTGTCTCTCTGTTTTTGGCCCCTCCGTTCTCCTTTCTCCCTACTGCACCGTGCTCTTACGTATCGCTTACACTCTTCCTTTCCTCCCTTTCGCCTTCCATCTCTTTCTCCCCCCATCCCCACCAGATCCTCGCGCCACTTCTTCCATCGACAATCACCACCACTCCTCTCCCCGCTGCTGCCTCCGCGGCTCCTCGGCTCGGTGTTCGACGTCAAGGTGAGACCTGGGGGAGGCATGGAGGCGAATTAGGGGGAGTGGGAGAGTACTGGGCGTGAGGGGTGGGTGAGGGGGAGGCATCTCAAGGCAATCCCCTCCCCGCTGCTGCCTCCGTGGCTCCTCGGCTTGGAGTTTGGCGTCAAGGTGAGAGCTGATTCCTCCTGCTGGGTAGCAATGTCTTCTCTGTGTTCTGAGCTGCCGATGCAGTAACGTGTACCTTCTGACAGGAATCATTGGTTCCTATCTTTGTCTGAGGGTGTGTGCGTTTGAATGATGGGGTGCATGGACGTGTGTGTGTGTGTGTGTGTGTGTGTGTGTGTGTGTGTGTACCTGTGTGTGTTGGCATGACTGTCTGTGATGCATGTGTGTGCCTGTGTGTGTTGGCATGACTGTCTGTGATGCATGTGTGTGCCTGTGTGTGTTGGCATGACTGTCTGTGATGCATGTGTGTGCCTGTGTGTGTTGGCATGACTGTCTGTGATGCATGTGTGTGCCTGTGTGTGTTGGCATGACTGTCTGTGATGCATGTGTGTACCTGTGTGTGTTGGCATGACTGTCTGTGATGCATGTGTGTGCCTGTGTGTGTTGGCATGACTGTCTGTGATGCATGTGTGTACCTGTGTGTGTTGGCATGACTGTCTGTGATGCATGTGTGTGCCTGTGTGTGTTGGCATGACTGTCTGTGATGCATGTGTGTGCCTGTGTGTGTTGGCATGACTGTCTGTGATGCATGTGTGTACCTGTGTGTGTTGGCATGACTGTCTGTGATGCATGTGTGTACCTGTGTGTGTTGGCATGACTGTCTGTGATGCATGTGTGTGCCTGTTTGCCTGCACATGGGAATGAAATCCAATGTTCCAGAAGTAACTCCAGCTACCAGCGCCACCCCTTCGACAGCTGCAAGGGGCCCAACCACCCTCGCCTCCTCTCGTCCCACCACCACCACCGCCACCCCAAACCCCACCACCTCCCTAGCGTCTTCCTCCCCAACCACCACCACCCCCTCCACTACCTCTACCATCAACCCCTCCTCTGTCTTCTCCTCCTTCCCTTCTTCCTTCCCATCATCCTTCCCCTCCTCTGTCCCTTCAACCCTCCCATCCTCCCTCCCCTCCTCCCTCCCCTCCTCCGTCCCAACCTCCACTCCCTCCTCCCTCTCCTCCACTCTCGCCAACCTCCCCACCAACACCCCCACCACCTTCCCCACCTCCAACCCCCTTCCCGCAAACACCCCTCTCCCCGGAGGCTCCACACAATCCTCTTCTGCTCCTGGCATGCTGCTGGGCATGGCTGGTGACACGGTAACCAATGCCGCACTGCAGCTTCTGCGGGGAATCCAGGGGGCCATGTCTGGCTCTGGTGGTTCCAGCAGTAGAGGCGGTAGCAGCAGTGGTACCAGTGGTAACGCAGGGTTTTCAAGTGGTAACACTGGGTTTCCTAGTGGTACGACTGGATCTGCCTTCCCTGCAGCTTCTCAAGGAGGTTCTTCTGGGGGAGGTATTGACTGGGCTGCTGCGTTGCCGCTACTTCAAACCCTTGTCCAGCAAGCCACAGGCGGCGGTGGTAGTAACGCTGTTAGCCGTGGAAACAATGATGGTACACTGAATGTGGATTTGAACGCGTTGTTGCCCGTGGTGGAAGCTCTTATGGGGTTGGAGACAGGGGGTGCAGTTGGAGGGAATGCAAACCAGCTGGACCTTGGGATGCTGATGAATCTGGCCGGGGCCCTTGGCGGTGCCGTGCTTGGTAATCCATGAGCGGTGGAAGCTAGGAAGTGTACGTCCCAATATAGTGCTTGAGAAGATTGTTGTTTTGAGTGTTCTTCCATATTTTATGTTATTTCTAATGCTGCATTGGCATATGGATAGCTGAATTTCCCTTCAAAAAGTAATTGTTTCTGTGCCTTTTTTCCCAATCATGAGAAATAAGCAAGGATATAATTCTCTGGGATGTGAAATGTGTACTGTAAATGGAGTGAAATAAGTGCGTAGCGAGTTCTTGTTCAATAATGCTTGGCAGCGTCATATACACCCTGTTTCTCGATGTTTGAACAATCGGGAGCCCGGCTACAGTGCGCACGTGTGCTTGGATTCAGCGGGCTGGTGATTGCAACCGAAATGCACTTCAGGAGAACGGTAGACAGCGGTTTATGAAATCAAACGTGCTTTTAAGTTTGGTTTCGTGCGGCAAAAGTGCTTATACGGTATGTTATGGGACCAATTTGGACGCATTGATGTCAGTACAGCCAGCTTGTCAATATGGCGAATGTCAGTGTGGCGCGAAACAAGGTGTACTCAGGTTGGGATGGGACGCAACCATCATACACGATGTTCCCGATTAGAGTCCACGTGAAAAACACGCGCGCTGCAGGCCTTTGTGGAAAACTCACAAACCCCGGGCAAAAGGGAACTTATAGTCCCATATAAGAACAGTTGCATGAAGAGAGATTATTCTTCGCTACTATTCGTGTTTTTCTGGCACATACGTACATTTGGACTACGCTGTCTTCAACTTCTCGTCGCACGGTTCGCCGCGTTGATCAGTGTCGCAGGACAAACAGGCAGAAAAATACAAAATATATTATTTTAAGGCCGAAAGGAAAGACAACATTTTTGTTTTACACTGTAAGCGAGATTAATGAGGTGGCATCGTCGGAGCTTGCGGGGAACCGCGCAACAGGATTTCGACACAAGAGCGGTCAAGATAAACAGACAAACACAATGCAAAATAAATAAATAGTGAATCAAAACTTCCTTTCGTTTTAGTTTCTCTAAATGTTCTGACAGGTTCGATTTGCGTTCTCTGATTGGCTGCGGAACTGATTCGTGAAATGATTCAGTCAAGATTCAAGATTTCCCGCCAAAAACGGGACTGTAGAGGAGGGGATACACCTAGGACTTATGTGAAAAATCGACTCTTTTAGGAAAGGCTTCTAAGCCAGAACATTTGTACCCTGCATGTGGTTGGAAGTGGGTTGAAGTATATCACATTCACAGAGCCTGAGCTCGGCTTATCACCTTGGCGGCTCGAGTTTTGTGGCAGATGCCACGCTGGAAGAGGTTGTCAGGCTTGTCAAGGTCTGCAGTCAAATTGAGTAGCCAATAATGAACCTTTGCGACTGGGGTGGAAAGCAGCAGATTGCAGAGCTCACCTGGCCGTGGTCAGAGGTGGTGGGTGACCTGTTACGAAAGTGCTGATTGGTTGCCGCCAAAGGTTGCGGAACTCAGATTGGTTGGAAAGGGGACGCCTTCCCGCCGACTCCTCCTCGCGCAGTCAAACGACGTGTAGAAAGAGATCCCCACAAGCTGTACCATTTCCAACCATTTAGAAAATATATCGTGGAAGAATAAGGGTCGTGAATTGAAGGCAGTGGCATATTTCAGTTATACAGCCAAAGCTTACACATAATTACATATTTCGGAGCAGAATGGCAGGAGTAAACATTTTTGGAGAAGGATGTTTGTTGCGCCAGCACCATCCCACCCGTGTGGCGGCTGTTGTGGACTGCCGCCAGGTGCACCCCACCTGTCAGCGACTTTCTTCTGCGATCAGTCGCGTGGCATCGCAAGAACGACCCTCATTGGGTGTTACACTTTTCAGGCAGTCTGTCTGCGGGGGCTGCCGCCGAGCCGTGCGGAGAATTCGTGCTGGCGAAGATGTCATGGCGGCCGACAGGTTTGCGTGGGTGAGCGGAGGGGAAGTTCGAACCGCATTTTGCGGTGACCTCTCTCTCGTCTCGTCACCCTCTTGGCCGCAAGTGCTCGAGAGAGGTGAACGGGCATGCAGGTTGCAAGCCACTGATGTGCCGAACCGAAAATCTTGGACGTCGCACGCGTGTCTGCGACGTTGTCATGTACAACCAGGCTCGGCTGGAAAACCCTTACACCCCAGTTCGATACTTGGGTTCTGCGGCTGCGACGACAGAAGGCGGCATCGCGTAGTTTTCGGCTGACGGTGGTGCCCCCTTCCCCAATCTGAGTCGTAGGCGTTATCCACCGCCCAACCGCCAAGCGGACGAACTTCCGCCGTTCCGTAACCCAAGACTTTCCAGTCCCCAGCGGATTGCGGTGTGCCCACAACAGAGCGCACATCGTTGCGTCCCGCGTACATCTGCTTCCCTGACTGAGCACGAATCTCCGAAATTATCGAGTCGCCTAAGCTTTTCCGGCTTCTCATTCCTTCGCACACGACTTCACGCCCACTCCCCTTTCCTCAAACCCAATCACCCGATTGACGGAATATCCTCTCTTTGCTGCTCCGCCTCACCCAACCACACACCTGCCCAAACGTGCTGACGAATCACAATCGTTCGCGCGGCTTGTACCTTGCCTTGCTTGATGTCCGTCCGTCGCCATGTCACACCAACCATCCATCGCAGCTGGAACCATTTCCTAGGAGGTCGCTCTCGCAGAACCTTCCGTAACCAGCCCAGCCAGAATCTCCCCCTAGCTGCCCATGAAAACCCCTTGTCCGCCAAGATGCCCGCGGAATTCCCAAAGAGCTCCTGACGTCCCCCCATTGGTCCCGGCGCCGAACCAGCAGCATCATTCCGCCTTTTCCCCCGCATTTCGATTGATCCCACCTGGCCCTGTGACGGCGTCACTTCCCCGTCTTCCATTCGCCACGCCGCCAGCCGTCAATCTGTCTGTCGATGGGACGAAATTCGCTTCCCTCAACGCCCACCGCCATTTCATTCTCCCTCCCTCCCTCCCCTTTCGTCGCTTTCCCTTCCCCGCTGGTTCTGCCGAGCGCGCTGACTCAACTCCCCCTCGTCGCACGCAACTGCCTGAGTTTCTCTCCAACTTTCAACTGAGCTGCGCGGACCGACCCACTGTGCTCTCAACTCAAACCCTTCATTGGTGTTTTCCCATCTCATCACCAAAAGAAGTCAGAGGCGTTTCGTGCTCCAGCCAATTTTCACTTGCTCAGTCACATCTGAATCCTTGACCTCTCATCTCAGTTAGGACGCTGCCTTCAGAAAAAAAGGGGTTGCGTTACGCCTTGCATATCAAATTAATCCTCCTCTCCGTTGGCTTCCCGAAGCGGCAGATTCCCTGTCTGCTGCAGATCGAAGCTATCTCACATCATGGCTGGTCTTTCATTAGACCTCTCCCTCAGCCTACTCTCCTCTGCACCTTCCTCCTCTCCGGTCGAGGCCGTCACAAACCTACGGGATTCTCTCTCCAGCCCGCGGAAGGCGAAGCGCCACTGCCAAATAGATCTTCGTCAGTCGCAACCGTCGCACGTCGTCGCGCTTCCCATGAGGCACGTGCAGTCGCCGGGTCTGTCGCTAGCAAGCAGCCTTGACGCGGAGACCGTCACCGAGCCCGTCGCCGAGCCCGTCGCAGAATCCGTCGCCGCGACGTCGCAGAGGGATAACGTAAATTCTTCCTTCCACCTTCTTGACTCATCTCCCTCGTCGTCTCCCCCGTCTACCAGCTCCTTCTCACCCTCATCCCGCGGTCCTTCCGCCTTCACCGCCCTCGCCTCCCTTGCGCACGCTCCGCCGTCCCACTGCATGCCGGCGCTCACTCCGGCGCCTCCCTCCACTCCGCCGCCGCCGTCGCACCAGCACCGTGGTTGGTTCGGCTCCGCCAACCCCCCTGCAAGCTGCCCTCCCGCGATCTGCCCTACTGCAAGCTACCCTCCCGCATGTTGTCCTCCCGCCGCGGAAGCCGTCTGCGTGACTCGGCTAACGATGCCGCCCTCCGCTTCTTCCTCCGCTCTTACCGCCCCGCATCTGGCCACGTCACACTCTCAGCAGTCAACAGCTCCTGCGGCGCCATATGCACCAGTGAACCCCAGCGCGGATTCGGGGGCCGCTGCAGGTCCCGTCGCGGCTCCAGCGCACCCGATTGTCGCGGGAGCGGCACCGATGGCTCCGACGGCGGCGCCGGCGCCACCGGCCGCTGCGCCGGGTCCGAAGAAAAGGAAGAGCATGAAGGACCGGAAGTTCCGCGGAATTCGCGAGGTAAGGAAGGAAATCTACGTCATGACTTTTGCGCATTGACATAAACGGCGGATTCTGAGATCAGATCTAGCTTCTTGCGCGCCTTTTTTCGTCCTCTCTTTTCTCTCTCGTCGTTTTGCTCCTTGGTTCTTGTGCTTGTGCCTCATTCTGAACTTGTCAAGATTGATTTTTTCCGTTGCCTGTCTGTTCTGCAGCGTCTGTGGGGTCGCTGGGCCGCGGAGATTCGGGATCCCCGAACCAAGAAGCGGATCTGGCTCGGTAGCTTCGACACTGCCGAGGCTGCAGCCCGAGCCTACGACGCAGCCAACCTCCGGCTTCGAGGAGCCAACGCCCGACCAATTTTCCCCAGCCCGAGCAGCTGGTTGCCTCGGAAAACAATCCTGCCGCACCTCGCCAGATCGAGGCTCTGCCGACTCCGATGCTCGAGGAGCTAAGTCCAACTGCCGGATCAAGCTCGGATGGTGACGGCGAGATCGTCGCGGGCGGGGAATCGTCCGCGTTACAAGAGGAGGCGGATGTGGTCGCCAGCTGCGGATAGCCTGTCTCTACTCGCCGCGGCGGCGCTTGCGGAAGAACCTGCTCCCGCGGCAGCGCCCGCTGCTGTGCCTGCACCCGCGTCTGCGCTTGCGCTCGCTCCTGCGCCTGCGCCTGCACCGTCAGGTCAGGCGGCTGTAGCACCAGCCGCGACAGCAGCTCCAGCGCCGGTGGCAGCTCCAGCTGCTGTGTCTCTCTCCCCTGCAGCTACGATCGCTCCGCGTCCCCACCCCTATCGCGCCCGCTCCCGTTCAGTTCTCTCCGGGGCAGCCTGGGCCGTACCCGTTTGTGCTGTTTCGCAGTGGCAGTACAACGCGCAACGCAACCCCCACCAGCAGTACAGCAACAACGTGCAGCAGTACCCGCGCGCGCAACAATACCCCCACTCCCACTCCGCCCAGCCGTCCTACTACCATTCGGTCGCAATCAGTGATGCTCGCTCCGCGCCTCACCAACAGCAGGCTGTAGCGGGAGCGCAGCCGGCGCTAGCCGTCCCAGCAACTTCCCCCCTACCCCACCTTCCCCGGGTCCTGGGGACATCCCAGCCATCCCAAGCGCATCCGCCCAGTATCAGCAGAGCCTGGCTCCGCTGTCCGCGTCCGCCTCCGCGCAACACGTGTCTCTCTCCGCGCCTGCGTCCGCCGCGCTGGCTGCTGCGGCAGCCGTGCCTTCGCAACCGGTCTCAGGCGGCGTACCCTGTGTCGCAGCATCCGCCTCCTCCCAACACAGGTGCTCCCACGCACAGTGGTTGCACAGACAGTAGTCACTCCGCGTACTGTCACACCGCACACTGTCACATCGCATAAAGCGGCGCCTCTCATGGGGCTGCTCCAGCTGCCCAAGTCTCTCACTGGACCAGTCCCAGCCGGCCAGCTGGCAATGCCGGTGGCAGCAGCAAAGCCTGCTGCTGCTACTGCACAAGGAGCGGTTATTGTGAAAGCATTGCCAGGACCAGCAGCAAAGTCGACAGGAGCAGCAGCTGGAGTTGGAGCCATGTGCACATCTTTGGTTCCCCAGGATCAGTCGCCGTGCACATCTGTCCCTCCATCGGCCTCTCTTCCTTCTCACTCATCAAGCAGCAGTAGCTATGCTGGAGGCTCGGGTGCGGATCAGTGCACAGCTGCATCTGCTGATGGCACTGTTGCTGTTGTGGATGCGTCCACTGCTGTGGCTGCTGCTGGAGCTGATGGTGCTGCGCAGAGCGAGAAGAGCGCAAACAAGAAAGACGGCCGCACTCGGCTTTTCCGAGGTGTTCGCCAGGTAATTTTCTGAGCTTTACTGCGTTTTTTTATGTCCTACATCTGCTGTACCGTTGTCTGATTGATATGTGTTTGTGGTGGTTGTGTTCCTTATCCTAACAGTCTT